TTCTTAAACCATTCCTAGGTGCTCTCCTTAAAAATATGGGAACAAATGAACAGGAAGAGAAAATCCGGCAAGAAAAGCTAAGGTAGAAAATCTACTGCTCTTCCTGAATGAAAAAAAAAAATCACCTACCTTCCCTCTCCCCATGATTTAAAGAGTAGCAAACAATGAGCATCTTTTAATATTCTTTAGAAATAGTTCACTCTTCCCACATTGTCTACCTTAATTGGAAACTTTTAAGAAATTTACTTATTTAACCATCCAAATTACTGAACTCAGCTCCTTCCTGAGGTTCTGTAGTAGAAAAATTCATCCCTAACATCCCAAGATATAACACAAGGAAAGAGCTGATTCTCATTCCTTGTTTACAACCACCAAGACAGTAAATTATGCTGTCACAACAACTCCTTCTCCACTTTACAAATCCTCTGGATATTCCTTATCACATGACAAACCACATACCCACTCACAGCTCTAAGACCAAATATTTTTTAAAGAAAATGTGTTTACAAGACCCTAAACCCAGATTATACACACAGTATAGTCTTTCACTTTAATTTAAGGTAGATGAGCAGATAAGCAACACCAAGAATATAATTGATAGCCAGAGCTATTTATCTCCATAAGATGCATTTTGAGCTACTGAATTCCCCATTAATAGTCTCCAGTTCTTGAGCTAAAAGTGTGTGCTTGGAAAGACCCAAATGCATTTCTTAAATGTCAGTCAATCAACATTTCAATTATTCGTCCTAAGTGTCACTTACTTTGTCCATTATATGGAGTTCCTCCATAAAAACAAGCTACTGTCAGCTTCCTTGTGATGTCCTTGAAATCTTTGGCAACCTGATTTGCCAGCTCTCTTGTTGGACAAAGAACTAGAACCTACATAGAAGAAAGACAAATAGATGTTCTCTCAGCATGGCTTCTGCCAAGAAATCACTAGACTTCTAATCATCGATTTAGACCTGACCATTTACAAAATTAAAATAAAAAAATCTAGTTTAAATAGTCACTTAAGCAAAGGTTGGAGAAACACGCTGCTTGAGCCCCATGTAACATCATTAAACTCCTTCAAAACATTCTCATTTGGGACAGGCTAACTTCTTTTTAAATTGGGTAGGAGATACTTAAATCTTACTTAAGTTTAGCTCCTGAACAGATCAGGAGTTACAAGCCTCCCTCTACAAGGCTGCTGTTTGAGTACAGACTGAAGGATCTGGGTAATACAAGGCTTTTACACCCACTCAGTAATGCCCCACAGTCCTGTGAGAAGATGTAAGGAAGAGCCATCAGCTGTCCCTTGGCTTCCGTGTGACTCAGGGAATCATGTTCCACCTGCAGAGCCGTGTTCAGTGCTAAAACACATCCCTGCAGAAGCACCCAAGGAATTCTCCTCTCTCCAGTACACAGGCTTCACTGCAGGCATGTAACTAATTCAGCTTAACATGAGATGGAAGCACTGCTCTCAAACCTGGCATCAGTGGCTTCACAAAAGGAACCTTAAAATCTTTATCCTGGTAATTCTTTCAAACTTCAAACCCATTACCAAAAAAGCAAATAGTAGTGTATTATGGTAGAGTGAGGCCTGAAATCTTTTTGAAGGCTCCCTGAAAGCTTTCCTTTCCTTAAAGGACTGCCAAATCTAGGGACAGCGTCTCAGTCAGCAAGCCAACATGATGGGCAGATGCATCTAAAACTGATAGTACTACTTTTGGAATGCACCTCAGGTAATCTATGAGAAGGGTGACAAGATGAAATAAACTGACAGAAATTATTAATGGGGACACCATGAGCCTTGGCCTGTCTCGTTTAGGAGGCATCGTAAGAGTTCAGAGAAAAACCACACGTGGTTTTTAAACCACACTGGCAGAATGCACACAGATCATAACGAATCTGCATTCTCTGGAGCAGAAGCTTCAACATTTGGTGGTGGTCCTTGTGAAAACTAAGTCTGTTTTTAGAACCACCCACTGTTTATGTGTTTAAAAAAAAAAGCCTGTTTAAGTAGACAGCTTTTATCAAGCTGTCAAGTTACCGTTAGTAACTAATCTATTCCTAATCTGGGAGAAAAACAAGCAGCCAGTAACCTGTGGCCCTGTGGGGTGACTGAACAAAACTGCAGAGGAACACGTGGCACACCTGTGGTTTCGGTCTCCCTGTGGCAGAACAAGGAACTGACAAGTGGGTAGAGCTGTCGTGCTCTGCACTGAGCAGAGGCTGTGAGGCAGCACAGGGCACAGGCAAAGCCCAGTGAACACAGATTTCAAACAACCTTTAATGTGGGTTGGCTTATCCCTGCACAAACCTGAAGAACTTCCCCAGTGGGTTAAAATCTGAATCACTGGGACGCAGGACAAAGCGAAACGAGCGTTCTACCTCGGCACAGTTACCTTGGGTGGACGGCCTCTTCTCCTTTCCTGGGACTCTCCCTGAAGCTTTTCAATTAAGGGAATGGCAAAAGAGAATGTTTTTCCTGTTCCAGTTCGTGCCTGAGCAATGACATCTTTGCCAGAATACACTGGGTTGAAGGTCTTCACTTGCACAGGAAACAGGTACATCACTCCTCGAGCTGTGACAATTGCAAGAGACTTCCTTAATATGATCATTTTACAGGTGTTCTTTCATACTCTTCAGTGGAAGTTATTCCAATCAGCATTTCCATCAACTCTACACTAAGTCAGGATTACATCATCACCTCCACTGATTTATTTATTACAGGGGTCATCTGCAAAGTGCCCTGGGTCTGTCCATTTTATTCTACTTCATATCACCACACACAGTACCAGCTGGGACAGATGAAATTATCAGCCTTTATGGGAGACTTTGAGGACTGTGCCTTTATTTTTGTAATAGTCCCTAGCTATCCATGAAAACCTCTTCGTTTCAAATCTCAAAACCTCTTCTGTTCTTCTCTTAATTCATAGTAAGTCATGTACAACCTAACATCAAAGATACTAAATATAACTGGTTTTCCTTTATTCACAACAACATAACCTTTAATTGAAAAATTCTCACACGTCACTAATTTTTTCCCCTTAGCTTATGTCATTTAGAATTCTACTGTAAAGGCTGAGCTGGGCAACACTGCAAACAGGAAAGTCTGTGCTCCAAGGTGTGCGTAGAGCAGGCAATCCCTGTCTCCTGCACAGTGCCCCTGCTTGCACATGCACAAGAAGAGCACACCTCAGAGATCACTGGTCCAGTATGTTGGGCATAAAAACACATGACAGAGATCACTGAGGTTCTTTTTTTACCTTGAAGAAGCTGGACAGTTTCTTTGGAAATAGAAAAATTGGAGAAAGCCCCCTCTTTCTGTTCGCCAGTCAGCTCCTGTTGGGTAAAGAACAATTTGGGTAAGATTCCACATGAGTATCACGTGACTGTCAGTAAATCCAAGGTAACAGCACAGAAACTAGTGTCACACACTTCAGTGACAGCATCACAGCTAAAGGGCCTTCTTTGATTTACCATCATACCTTGAAGTTGGACAAAGTTAGCAAGCAATCTGTAAGTGGAGACTGCTTCATATCTAACAGCATAATAAATGCAAAACACCCAAATCAAAACTCTGAAAACTCTGAATTAGAATGGCAGAATATCCTTAGTTGGAAGGCACCCACAAGGATCACCAAGTGCAACTCCTGGCTCGGCACAGAACACCCCAACACTCATATCTAACGATGCTGAATCATATCAAAGCTCCATCTCACTGCAACCTGTCTGTCCACCAAAGCTGACAGACTGCTGAAGTGAGGAAACCCTGGTGCACTGATCTGGAACTTCAGGACTTTCTTAACTCAAAATTTTTGCAAATAATCAACGGAATGGACAATTCAAGAAGCTTTAAACCCTGATAATTTACAGCACTTTCACCTGATTGGGAAGGGGGGGAAGGGATAACCCATTCTAAATCTGGCCTTGTTGCAAGACAGGAGTTGAAAGCTGCACACACCACTTAACTAAACCCAATCGCTGGCTTTACCTGCTCCTGCTCACTCTCGCTCTCGCTGTCACTTGACGTCTCACTAGAACTGCTCTGCCGGCTCTTGCGGGAGGATTTGCTGCTTAAGGAAGACAATTTTGGTTTCTCCAGGCTTTCTTCTCTCGCATGACCGTTCTGCTTACTGACACTCTTCGACTTCTTGACTTTCGGGGTATAAACCGCCTCATCCGATTCCTCGCTTTCATCTGTAGGAGCCTTCCCCCTCTGAAACTTGTCCCGGCTTTTAGATTTCTTCTCTTTTTTCTCCTTCTGGCAAGGCACAGAGCAAATGAAAACACGCGCTCGTGGATCCAAGGACAGGGAACAGGGAAGAGGGCGCGGAACAGTTAAACCTTGGAGCGCACGTTCTAGTTACTGCGAGGGGGGGAACAGGTAGAGGGCAACAGCCCCCCCGCCCGCCGCCACGAGGCTCCCGGCGCCGCGGCGCTCGGGGGAAGCGCTCCGTGGGCTCCCGCCGGGCCCAGCACGTGCGGCGGGGCCGCGGCCTGGCCCGCCCGCGCACGTGGCGCCCGGCCCCGGCCCGGCCCGCGGCCCCGCCGTGCCTCCCGCGCCCGGCCCACGGAACGGGCGGCGCGGGGCGCGCGGCCCGAGCCAGGCCCGCCGGGCACCGGCCCCAGCGCGCGGCCGCGGCCGGGCCGCTCCCGGAGCCCTTCCCCGGTACCTTGTGTGCCGCCGGCGACCGCTCTCCAGGGCCGCCTCCGTGTCCATGGAGCAGTCGGAGCCCGACTCGGCCCCCGCTGCCGCTGCCGCACCGCGTGGCCTCAGGCATCGCCGCCGCTCCGCCACGCCGCGCTCCGCACCCGCCGCGCGCCAGCCGCGCCTCACGCTCCGAGCGGCCGCCGCGCCCACAGCCAAATCGCCGGCCGATCGGCGGCGCGGGGCGGGGGCCTCTCCGCCCGAAGCCAATCGCCCGCGGACCCCTCGGCGGGGACCACAATTCCCGGCGTGCCCCGGGGACAACCGGCAGACTCCAAGCCCCGGCGGCCCCCGCGCGCCCTGAGGGCGGGCCGCCATGGCGGGCCGCCATGAGGACTCGGCCCGGCTCCTGCGGTCCTCCCAGCGCCGCCCACAGACCCCGCCCGCAACCACAGCTCCGCCAGCTTTACAACCCCGTGACTTTTAGTTTCCGTAACTATCGCAGACACGTGTTCGGTAGCGAAGAGCCTAACGTAGGGAACGGCAGAATGACCAAATGCCTCTAAGACTTAAAAGGACCACACGCCTGTGGTGATCAGCAGCATGAGCTGATGATGACCTGACCACAGTCTGGTCGTACCTACAGGGAAAAATCGGGTTTAAGAAGTCAAACGAGTCTTACGAGCTGTGGAGGGATCCTGCCGGCCGCCAGGGTGTCGATTTCTCAAGGAAAGAGGTGTTCTGGAGCAGAGCAGGGCTTCTCCCAAAGCAATGACAGTGATCTGCCCTGTCGCCTCCTGCACCAGCACGTTTTCATTTGCAAAGACCAAATCCTGCTTGCCAGATACAAACACACCAAGTAGATCGAGGAGCACAGCTGAGAGCTCTGCAGGATGCAGTGAGAGAACCTTGGGATTGCAGCAATTTTTGTAGTAACCAGGTGCGTGTCTAGTTCATTTGCTTTGCACACTTCAGGGAAGATGAAGTGTGCTCTCATTCCTGTGCCACAAGTAGGAAACCCATTCCAGAATTATAGTGTAAAACAGCCCTGTCCAACTGCAGTTCCTACAGAGCAACACAAACCCTTTCCAGGTCAGTTGTGTGGTCTGAATGAAGGATGCCAGTTCTCATTTTTATTATCGCAGGGACACAAAGAATGATTAAAGGCGAGTGCAAACGAAATACACACGAGCTCTCCAAACACTACCGTCAAAAGTCTGAACTAACAGCTTTGATTTAGAGACTGATGTGACTGACTGCGTTTGCAGGATGGTTACCTTGTTACAGGGGGAAACTTTACAAAGCTCATTAAAAAAGAATCAGGTATTCATGACCAGGGTTAGATGTAGGGGGGAATTTTGTTGCAATTGTCCTTCCGCTTGTCCTCCTCTTCACGTTATTATTTATGCTTTTAGAATTTTGCAGGAAGCTTCATCTTCTTTTCAGTCCATCTAAAATAATAGAATTATTAGAGGTCAGACCACATTCCAGGAACTGAGTTGGCCTAGCTTCTGGTGCCACAGGTGGCATCAGTACAAACAGTAAACATGACCCTCTGAAATATATTTTCGTAAAGATTTCAAGTTTTACTCATGTATTACTCATGTCCAAGTAATATACAGGGAGTGTGTTTGAAAGACTGCACAGCCAAAAGCTGCTTAAGGGAAAATTTAAAAATCAACAGAATTTCCTTAGAAACTGTAGTATGTGATTTGTTTCTTCAAATACTGGCTTTTTAAGGTGACAGTACACATCTAATGAAGACTCAAATGGTTTAAATAAATACCAGTCATTAAAGATATTAATATGTGTTGTTATTAAAAAAAAATGATGTGATTTTTGCCCTCAGCAGTTTTTAACGTATGTTCTAGCCAACTTAGTTAACAGTTTTGTAGGCCTTCTCCACATACAACTCTATAAAAAATTGTTTCATACCAACTTGCTTTCCATAAAGGGATCTTTCAAGCACAGTTACAGGCAAAATGTACACTGTGAAAGGAAGCAGAAGCTTGTAGCTCAGGCAGTGTACACATTCTTCTGTCAATTGTGAGCAAGTCAAATGGTGTTTTCTACTTTAAATTTGGATTAGACACCTCTCTATACAGCACCTTTTATTCTTCATCTACAGCTGCAGAACTGTAACAGTATCTGCAATGTAATATGGCAACATCTATGTGAGCTGAACCTGCCTTCTAGCAGGAGTTTATCAAACACTGTGTTTAACATCTCTGCCCTTGGCCATCTCCACCTGCAAGGCAGAGCTCATACTATTTTCTTGCCTCATGCAAAGTATAAACAGCAGCATTTGTCTAAACGATTTAGGGAGAATGTCCTTGTAAAAAACTGCACAGTTTGAGTATTTCTGGGTCATAACACTGAAGTTTTCAAAGATAATAAGAATTTTGTTGTTGGGGAAGGGGGGGTGTGTGTGATTTACAGCAATATTTCTGCCTAAATCTGGTGGTCAATTTGAAGATAAACCAAACTTAGTTACGTGTGTTTTCTTACCTTGGGGAGTCAATTCCACTGTCTCCTGTAATGCTGGGGCTTTCTGTCCCTTCTGAGTGTTTCTGTCCTGAGATCACAGAACATGTGTTCTTAAAAACCAGCTCTTTTTTCCCCAGAGGGTTTCCCGTTTCTTTGCTCTGGGAGCCCAAAGCACAGCATGCCACTCCTCCTCCTCCTCCCACCTCCGGGGGGAAGTTCTGCCCGGTGTCAGCATCTGAGTGAGCCTCGGCAGCGAGGCAGGAACCTGCCACAGCTGGGGCCTTCCCACCCTCAGGGAGGCCTGTTCCTTCAGCCTTTCTGTGACCTCTTGGAAGAACCTGACTGCACAACCAGCTTTCTTCTGTGAAGTCTGGTTTGGGGTGCTCTTTGAAGCCATCTGTTGACTCTGCAAAGCTACTGCTTCCCTTACATCCATGCTCTCCAGAGCCACACTTATTAACAGTTGGGTTGCACTGGGCAGGACAGTTACTAACCTTCCAGGATTTTAGGGACACAGCTGCACTCCAGTCTCTTGTGTCTGGAAAGGCATGGCCAGGAGGCAGGGGATGACATGGCTCATGGCCCTCAGAAGTGTCATCCAGACATAACAGGTTACAGGTGTCCCCATCGGGTGTCCCCATTTGGTTCTGAAGGAGGCAGTTGTCAGTAAATCCCTCACTTTCCAGATTCATTGCCCCGTGATGGCTGGCACAGTCATGGTTAAATATAAACTCACTCTTTTTATCAGTCTTTTTTCTGTATTTCACACCATTTTTTTTGACCAGGTTAACATTGGCTGTATAATTTGAAAGATGGACATTTTTAAATTCATTTGCTGTTTGATCTAATAACTCACCTACAGCGTCAGCTTTGCCTCTGCAATGCTCATCTTTCAGACAGAATGAAAGCTTTGTGACTTCTTTGCACACACCACTATGTTCAGTGTAGAAGCAAGGGGACTTTTTAATATCCCCAGGACTTTTTTTTAAGGTTCTTCCATAGGTGTTTTCTTCAGAACTATTACTCTCCAGAAAGTGTTTACTTTTATTATCTATTTGCAGATTACTGCCTTGCAGACAGCTACAGTTTTCACTTAAGCTGTCTTTCTGGAGTTGGAGGCAGGACCTGTGAGCCTGGGGTGGGTGGCTTTGCTCAGCTCTGTCAGCCAGCTGCCCAGTTTTGTAGCCAGGGGGTTTCCAGGAGGCTGAGGGCTGTGGCCTGTGTGAAGCCCTCCCTTGCCCCCTTGCCCGGCTCTTCAGGTGACTGCTGACCCCTCGGTACCCCCACACGTAGAACCTGCGTCTCCACGGCAGAGCCGGGAAAGGATTCCTAATCTGCTTTTTGTACAACACAGGGGGCTGCACTGCTGCAGCAGGGGGCTCTTGGTTTCTGACAGAGGGTGAAAGGCTCTCTTCCACTTCCACATTTGGGGATGTCAGCTCCTGTATGGGGGATTTCCTGCTGCTTCTGCTGACCTGCTTCTCTTTCTTTGATTTGGTTTTCCTGGTGCGTTTTGCTGTTTTACTCTGTGCCTTTTGAATACAATCCTTTGAAAGATGGTTTTGCCTGACTACTGACACTTCAGCTGAGGTACCATTACTGATGTATTGTTTCTCTTTCCTGATGTATTTTTTCTGCTCCTCGAGCTTCTGCATTAATATTGTGTGTTTAATCAAATTATCAACGGTAAGAGTAGGGTTGATACGCTTGATGATTTCATGTTCTATATCACGTGGAATATTGTCCAAGTCATCTTCATCCCTGACTGGCCACTCCCTGGGAGGAAACTGGGCTGAAAAAGTGGAGTACTCCTTCTTGTGTTTTTCTTTTTTGGAAAAACTTCTCCAGAAAAGGCCAAGGCCAAACCTTTTGCTTTTCAGTTTTGCTTTCACAGATGTCAGGGATTTGATGGTGTCCCAGGAATGATTTTCAGCAGATGTGCAGATCTCTTGAGTTTCAGTTGAAGGCTTCAATTCACTGCAGTCTTTCTTTCCCTCTCCCTTAGGTTCATGGTTCACTAGCTGCCAATGTCTTTGTTCACAGAGCATATTTTGGACAGGGAAACAATGGCAGGATCTGTAACAGGATGATGTAGGAATGTTTTCTTTCACTAGGTTTGCACAGTGCTTAATGTTTACCAGGTAAGTGATGGAAGGTGATGAACAGCAACACCTGTCCTCCAACAGGACCCTTCTGTTGTCTTCTGTGGTCTTACTGGTGATAAAGTATGTGTTGGGAGTCACAATGAAGTATCCTTCTCCCGTATGATAGATCTTCCTTTCCTTAATTAGAGTGCCAAGGATATTATATAAGATACTGTGGGAGGGAACTGCAATGCCTACAACGAAGAGACAGATATTTCAAAGCAGAAATAAGCTTTCAAATAAAACGGGTGCTGGCCAAAAAATAACTTACATACAACAGACCTGGAAGGAACTGCACATGAAATACCCAAAGCCTTTAGGGAAAAGTCAGCTGTATTTCTGGCTGTCACTGCTGCACTGCTGGGAGAGAGCTCAATATGTTCTCCTCAAATAAGCAAGGGTGTTCTCTTTGTGTCTGTCAGGGTATAATATTTATGAGAGAGACCTTCTGCCAGGTGCAGAGCAAACAATGTCTTGTTCAAAGCATTTCCATCCTGGCATGTTATTTAACAATTACTTTTACCACTCTCTCCGAAGCTTCTGGTATAATTTGGTCAGATGACAATTTATTACCTCACTGAGACCGGTCTCAGCTACTGGGTTTCCATCAGGTGTCACAGTCTCAGAGTCCTTAGTCTAGTCACAGCTGATCTCCTGCCATGGGAATAAAAACTTCCAGCAAGGTGAAAATACAGCAAGAAATACATTGAGTCCCTACAAACTTTGAGAGTGCTACCGCTGGGTGACCTAAAAAAGCTACCTTGTGCTTGTCTCAGTGCACATGTGGACTACATCATGTTCCTGGCAGGGGTCTGGGCCACTTTGTGGGGTTGCATTGACATTTTTCCCACTGGTATGAATGCCTAGCAGATCAGCCTGTAACATTTACAGAGTTGTAAGGTTAAGAGGACTCAAAAGAAGCAGCTCAGTATCTAACAAAGGAGCCTCCTGAGAGGGCCATACTGAGCCTTTAGGAAGTCTCACATGCAATAACACTTCAGTATTGCAGACCTAAGGGAAACTAAACATTTTTCAGATGTAAAGAAAATGGAGCATTTAAGGGAAGTGGCTGCTACTCCATCAGCAGAAAAGGACCAAAGCTCATTTATTGGAAGTGATTTGCTTTCAGGAAGGAAGGAGCTGGAATTTGACCCACAACCCCAAATTCGAGGCTGATTATATTTTTTTGGTAGCAAACACCTACCCAGTCCCTTTGCAGTCAAAGTCAGCTGTGTTCCTGTCTCCCAAAGGAGGACTTGGAGTCTCTGGGATCTGCACACAGTCTAAATATTTCTATGCTTTCCCAATC